CATTATCTGGAAAGCTCAGAACGTTGGGATATTTACAAAGACTATATTATCTACAGCATGAGATCTAAATTATAAAATAATAAGCTAAAATCAAAACTGTTACGGCTGACGGACGGTGTTAATTTGTCAAGAGGAAGGAAGGAAAAAAGCATTCATATAATTTCTTCTTCTGAATATAGCTACCAAATACAATAGTTGCTTATATTTTTGGAAAAATATATACTCTGAGATAATAGTTGAGATGTAATTTACATTGAATTAGTTAACTTATGATCCTCATGAGTGTATATCGTTGATATCTCTTGGCACTCCTAAAGCCATAACAGGAAGCTTTATTACAAAGATCTCTTCCGTCTCAAAAAATATCCTCACCCCTTTTTGAACATCTGTATGCAGGAGTTTCCGAACTAGATCAACACATCCAGAGTCATAAGTAATATCACGCGCCTGCAAATTAGAGATTGTCAATGGGCAGGTAAAATAGTTGACACACACGCTGCAATATCTCAACGCAGGTTGGCGAATGGTCCAAAAATATTTTCGGTACGACTCGCCTCCCCATGTTTTCTTTTTATGACTGCTTCATTTAATGGTGCATTGATCTTGTACACAGTTTAGTCTGCCTGACTTCGCACACTGTGCAAACCAGCCCCGAGGTAAATGCATAATAGTGGGAGAGGGTGTTTAGAGTTTCTGCGAACCACAGAAATACCATCCGCATTCCACATGGGTTTACAGAAAGATATTTTACATATTAATAATTAATGAAAAATATGGTGATCACAATTAATCTGTTCTATAGCACACGATAAAAGAAGTTTAGAATTGAAACGTATTTCAAAATATAATCCTTTCAAAAATATAGATATCTCTAATTACTATTGTAGCGTCGTGTACGAAAACAACATATTATATACAGGTGTATTTACGAAACTACTCCTATACACATGTTATTTGCATTTACTGTCTCCCAGGCGCGATCGAACCACCCGTGGATACATTACAATTACCAGAGACCTTGTCTCTCAAATGCACACTTCTACCACGACACTCAAGTGACTTATCGTCACCCGCAACTTACGAACACGTACATCGGTCTGGGCACAAGTTTTACGCAATGCGTGACGTCTTTAGAACA